CAAATAATAATTTGAATAAATTGAAAATAGTTTATAATTTTAAAACAATTTTAGATTTGGTGTATTGAACCTAATTAGTGTTTCATACCTACTTATATATGTATATTAAAATTATAAAATATAATAGAATTTTAAATTAGTATACAGAATAAAATCAACGTTAAAGAAACAATGAGATATGAGTGGAAAAAGTATAACTACTATTTTAAATTTTTCAATAATTATTATTTCGTACCTACTCCTGTGTTTCATAGGCAAACATAATACTCTTATGAATTTTGTTTATGTTTAAAATATAATAATTTTAATAAAAACCATAACTATTAGTATATTATTATTATCTATTTATTTAGTATTGATCATAATAATATAATAAGACGCTCTTCGTCGGCTGGATTGTATACACAATATTTGGGGTTTATGGCGTTGTTATTTATTAAGCCAGAATTGAGTGAGTGTGGCTGATATTAACCTCGGATCAAATAATTTACTTATTGTGTGAAAAAAAGTACAGAAATTATTGTTATTATTGTTTGCTAGAGAGAGAGAATACATATATATATATATATAATATATAAATCAAGTTGTGTGTGTAGTGTGTACTGTACATAATAAAATATAATATAATTTTAGGAGAGGGAAATCTCAAATAAAAAATAGATAAAATATGCTCTAAACGTTTTATTTTCCCCGAAATAATATTTTTATATTACAACAAAATAACTAAAATAGTTATTCTTGGTTTTAATAAGTAATTTCGTACTAATTCGAACTTAAAATGTCTGAAAAAAATAACTGTGTAAATATATTATTTAATTTTTTTGGTTACAGTATAAACTATTTATGAAAATCCTTGATTTTAATTTTTAATCCTTATCTATAAAAATTTAACATTTTATAATTTTTTAACTGCAACAATTTTGAACATTTTGTCAACATATTTTGAACTTAAAATTATAGTTATAAAAAAAATTGTGCTTATGTATTTTTAATATTTATCAATAGGTTGCGGATTTCATTGCAAAATACATTTTTTTTAGTTGATCTTAGACAATGCTTTCCAAGTTAGGTCTCATGTAACGAGTGCTTCAAAGCTAAACATTTTATTTTGCAATTTTTTGCATATTTCGAGGTTTTTTTTTATTTTTTGAGCATTTTAAGTATTGTTGGATCATTTTTGTTGTTTTTAATGCATATTTGTTCAATATTAGGTCACCCGTTTCAGATGAAAGACAAATAATTAGTGAGTTCGTGTTACATCGCTGTTATATTTAGTATGTTTTTATTTCATGTTCAAAATTTTAATAGGGCTAAATATTGTGTTAAATAATGCCCAAAAAAAAGTCATCAAAAAATTTAAATGGTATTTTTAAGGTCATTTCTAAGGTAAGTTTTGAAGTAAAATGCATTTTTAAGGGCATTAATTAAATTGTTCACATTTTTAAAGCATTATTTTACTTCATGAATTACATTTTGTAGGTCATAATTGCATTTTTTCTAAGGCATTTTTAGGTATTTTTTAGCGCATTTAAATAAACTCCCTGTTTATCAATTACAATAATAACAGTTTATCAGGAGCCTTGCATTAATTGTTCACATTTTTTAACCCAAAAATAATATTTTATTGACAATAATAGAAAATAAAATTGAAAATGATGGAGAGTGCAAATATAAGCAAAAAGTGAATTTGTTTTAGAGTTACACCAAAAACCAAAATCGATTTTGTGGAAAACCAATTTTGCTTAAAAATGCCCGTTTTTCCTTAATTTTTATATTGTGTTTCTCTGTGCTTTTCAAAACTATTAGAAATTTTAAATGTTGGCCCCCTGAATTCACCAAATAGAATCACATTCCCATTGAACCAGATACTGTTAAAGAAAATTGAAGCGGTTTTACTGCCCCAAACGGTGACGACAGAGACAAAAAAAAATACACATCATTGTAAAATCAATACATTCATCGCTCGGCTCAGAATCTAAAAATAAAATAAAATATAAAGTAACAACTAAAAAAAAAAATAACTCTTATAATTATTTATTCTTATTTCTCTATTTACATATTATTATTTAAAACCTGAACCTGTGTATTTTAAGGAGTTGAGAACGATGGCGTAATCAGAATTTGTCGGTCGAACTTCTATCGTTTTTTCATTTGACTTAATTTTTGCTCTCAGTTCCCATTGAGTGCAAAAACGTATTCGATTTGACCATTAATCAGTGAACTGGTGCGGTAATTTATATTCGATTTGATTGCACAGACAAACGCTCGTGTACTCTTTCTACACCACCGATTTTGTGAGTGCTCATACTGTTATTAACTATATTTCTCCATTACTAGATCAAATTTTGTTTTCATTTTCGATTTCATACAAGCTATAGTGTAGAACTATTGCAACACTCGTGGTGTGGTAGATTAACTTGGTGCACTAATAAATTGTTAAACAGAAAACGCTATTAGTTTCAATGTTAATATATTAATATGAAGTTAACGATCTTACGATTTTTACTCATTCGTACAACGCACTACAGTTAACCATGGATTTCAAGAATTTTTATTTTTTCTAAACACGTTTATTTTTTGACGCATAATTTGATGGAAGATTTCATTCGGAAATTTAGATAATGATAATAATGACACTATAAGAATTTATTTTGTTTAATATTAATGCCGAATAATGTTGTTTATGGTATGTTTATTGTCAACTCTCCACCCACCTCTTTCAAAAATGCATCACCACAACGTATCTAAATTAATAATAGTTAAGTATCTATTAATAAATAAATTTAATTTCACTATAGTACATAATATGATGTTGATGATTGTGTTGACAATGCGTGCCTGGATAAGACAGGCCACAGGCTTAAAGTATATTGAGTAGTCTCTCCCTACGCCTGCCGGCAAAAAGCAAAGTGACTATGGCCGTAAAAATGTATAATATTTTAATGAGTGTTTCAAGTTTACATTTTTACAACATTGAATAATATTTATTCGATTTCTTATGAAGCTATTTTCTTACTTTGTTGTAATTCAAAAAAACATAACTGTAGATACTTGAAATTAATACATCATATTATGTTTATTTTATCAATTCCCATACTTGATAAAATTTTAAAAATATTTTGACTCGTTTTGAGTTGCTTACGGATATTTTCAATTTTCAATTTTTTTAGTTTTTTTCTATAAATTTCTTAACATTTTTTTTTTTTGGGGACAGAAATCGTGAAAATTGAATACATGGCTCATGATGTATTGTTACAATAGCAGTTAAAAAATGTTAAAAATATATTATCACACTTTTTTTTTTGTAAACATTTAAAGTTAGAATTTTTGGAAAATTGATCAAATTTAAAAATTAAAAATGATTTTGTAGATAACATTTATAAATTGTTTAACTTTTATAACTTAAGATTGAAAATGTAAAACAAGGTTCCACGTAAATAGGTAAATAAATTACTTTATTCACAATAATATAATCAAATTTAATTCAGGGACTGGAACCTTGATGATTTTTACGGTTCCAGTTAATATTCGGTTCCCAGTAAAACTAAAATTTTGGTTTTGATTCCTATAATTTCAAATAAAACCATCGACAATGTTAATAGTTAATCTGATATATAGAATGAACCTAACCAGACCACCTACCTCAGTTTTATCAACTTTGAATGAGCGCAAAAAAAATAGGTTCTGTGTGGTTGATAGTATTGTATATGTATTTTATCATTGTTTTAATATTTTAAAAATACCATACACAGTGAAATCTTCCAAAAAACTTATATTTATTTTAAACTATTGCCTATTGATACCACATTTTTACCCATTCATACTGTTCTATAGTAAGTAGGCGTTGATTTAATAGTTAATAACAATAATAAATTATATAAATACATATAATATTATAATAACTAAATATTAATTATATAGCAAATTCAATGTTTTCGGAAAAAAAATTACTCAACCTACCATACAATTAAAAGATAAATACATTTCAATAGTTGCAATATAATTATTTCATAAAATGCACTTAGTAATATTAAATTATTGTCTGTCGATGAATAGTACATATCATTTTAATTTTTAATTTTGTATTTTCATCAAATAATTTAACAATATTATTCTTTAAGGTAATTGTAACTTTTAATTTTGTATAGCCAGATATTGTTTCTAGGTACCAGTAACTAGAAACCTTTTGAATTTATCGGTATCGGTTCCAGTTCTGGTTTCCCAAAAATAAAATAACTGTTCCGGTTCGGTTTTGGTTTTTTAATAAAAAAAATAAAGTTATTAGTTCTAAATAATTTCGGTACTGGTTCCAGATAATTTAGGTACCGAAAAGTATAATGATTTTAATACCTATCCGGAATGAGGGTTTAATAAATAGTATGAGAAATATTAGAAAACTCATATGATCATACATAGTTTATACCTACAAAAAACAGTATTATATGATAAATAAAATTATTTTATTTTTGAACCTAAAAAATTAAAGAACCTATTTAATTTAAAAATTCCAGTTCGGTTCTAGTATTTTAGTTATTAAAATAATGGTTTTGGTTCCGGTTCTATTCTTAATATTTTAAAGATTCCGGTTTCAGAACCGGTTCTTTTAGGTTCGTTTCCAGCCTCTGCTGGTAATTTACTGATACCTAATATTTACAAAATATCAATTTTTGAATTTTAAAATAAAATTACAAACACTGATTTGTAAAAATGAAATTATAATATTTGATATCATACAGGTAGTGCGTATAATAAAGGTAGGTACCTACATACTTACTAAAAAAAAATAACATAGGTACAACAAAACTTAGGTATATTATATAATAATGCGTTTAATGACATTGATAAAATGTGTATGAATTACAACCCATCAGTTCTCATATTATAACTTATAAAACAGAATTAATGATAATATCATTTTTCAATGTGATGAATGAATTAATTTATGAAAAGTAAATGATTTTTGTTTTTATTTATAAACTGTTTTGATACTGATAATGATTTTAGTTTTTAAAATCATTTATAGTGTTTACAATTATGTCAATTCCTTCACGTAATTGTGTTTCTGTAATTATTAATGGTGGCGAGAATCTCAATGCACCAGACCCAATAGGCTTGGAAATCATTCCATTGGATTTCAGTTCATTGTTTAATTTGTAGACATTGGATACGCCTTCTGTAAATGTAATACAAATTAAAACATTATTGTATGTTTAATATCAAAATGAAAAATGTTAGTCTTTAAAATAACTGTAATTTATATTGATTAATTAGAGCTCAACATGATACACGCGTGTATTGATAGAAAATTTAGTGTGCTAAACTATATTTCGAACTTATATATAATTATAGACTATTATAGGTAAGTAGTAAACAATGAATGATACAATTATAAGATTTTTTTTCTTTAAAAATAATTATTACAGCATGCTTAAAGTGTATTAAAATGGTTAATTAGTTACAATGTGCAGCTCAAACATACGAGTATAATCATATGTCATCATACGTAAATAATACCTGAATAATGTTATATAGGTTCATTTTAAATAAGCAAGTATAACGTAATATTATTCACTCGAAATAAATAAATATATTTAAGTATACAGAGATTTTATTTAAATAATAAATAAAAATATCATGCCAACCTAATATACGAGTAAAGTAGATTTTTTTTTTCATATTTTGGTATTATTATGTTTTTTCAAAATATGTATTTAATGAAAACATACCTGTGTTTAATACGATAGCATTCAGCAAACCTCTTCCTCTGACTAGAACAACTTTGTCTTTGTTCAAACGAGCAGTGAGCTCTGACCTGAAGATCTCACCCATCTTGAATGCGTTTTCTACCAAACCTTCGCTTATGATTACGTCCAGTGAAGCCAATGCGACCTTACACGCTAACGCATTTCCACCATATGTCGACCCATGTGTACCAGGAGTAAGTACATCCATTACTTCACTGTTACCCAATACCGCAGAAATCTATTATGCGAATCGATTTGATTTTATATAGACATCCGTTAACATGTATGACCTAATGTTTTTCAAATTATACTCACAGGGTACACTCCACCGGACAGTGCTTTACCCAGGATCAACAGATCAGGTTTGACGTTTTCATAATCGACTGCTAACATTTTTCCGGTTCTACCCAGTCCAGCTTGTACTTCATCGTCGATCCAAAGGACGTTGTATTTCGTGCAAAGCTCACGAACTCCTTTCAAGTAGCCCAGAGTAGGTACCACTGCTCCTGCTTCGCCTTGTAGTGGTTCCACCATGAACGCGCACACGTTTGGGTTTCTCAATGCTTGCTATAAGAAAATTCAAAATTCAAATCTTGAAATAAACCATATATGTCACTGGCTAATATGATTAAGCGTTGCATGATATCATAGCAGTATTAAAAAATATAAAAATCAAATGCTTTGGAAAAATACTGATTAAGATTATATTTGTTATATGTATCACACCCATCACCCAAGTGTAATATTGTAATTTAGATAAAATGCATTCACGTATTCGTTTTTTTGAGTAATATTTGAGAAATTTTAGAGTGAAATCATCTATTGAAAAAATGATTGATGATTATATTTCTGAAGGTTTGGGGTGTCTTTTTTAGTTTTATTTGACTTTATATTCAAATTCAAAAATAATTTTTTTTTTAAATACAAATGATTATTATATTGTTTTGAGACAATATTTAGACAAAACAATAATATAGGATCATACACTCAAAAATATTGTTCTCTATAATTTTTATAATGGATAATTTTACTCAAAGATTACTGAAAAAAAAAATGATTTTCTGGATTTTTATATGCTGAATCTAGAGAGAGAAAACAAAGAAGTACAATCAAATAATAAATAAAGACAAATTAAAACTTAAAATTCAAAATACTAAAATATACTCATTCAATCAACCGAATATTTTATATATTAATAATTTTGTCAGTAACAACTATTGGAGTCAAATACCTACTCAATTTTTCTTTTATAGCCTTAAATTGTAATATAATATTTCCATAACTACAAAATTAAAAATAAATAATGAAAAAATATATAAAATAAATAATTTAAAAACTTTTAGATCACGTAAGATATTATTTTTATAAATTGAGCCAATGAAAATAGTACGTAAATAATATTTCGCTTTTCTTCAAATAAAATTATCAAATCTTCATATTATAGAAAAAGACAACATTATTATATTTGATAATTAATTTAGTTTCATAATCACCTCTAATTTTCCTAAATCATCATAAGGCACTATTTGATACCCAGGAACATGAGGTCCAAATTCATCGAAGGAAGTTGGATCTGTGGATGCAGAAATGGCAGCAATTGTTCTTCCCCAAAAGTTACCATGAGCAAATACAACTTGAGCTTGATTTTGGGGAATTTTTTTCACTCTATATCCCCATTTTCTCGCAATCTTGACACTAGACTCTCCTCCCTCAACACCTTAACATAATATAAAACAATTATTTGAATAATCAAAAGTGTATAATATAGGTACTCGATGATCGATATCGTTTCAATTATTCCAGTTGTAAAATGTTCTATTAAAATATAATATTTACATTTTACAAAATGCATATCAAAATAAATGTATTTTACCAGTATTCATGTTCAAAACTTTTTCATAATCAAACTGTTTAGTCAAGAACTCATTAAGTTCATACAGCGAATCGTGAAATATAGCTCTTGACGTGTGATGAAGTTTGTTTAATTGATCTGTCATGGCCTTAATAATTTTTGGATGACAGTGACCCTGATTAAGGGTGGCAAATCCTCCCACAAAGTCGTAATATTTTTTTCCTTCAACATCCCACATAAAAATCCCTGAAATTTTTTAATATTATAAAAATGATTTATTATGTTTATGTGTTTACAATATACATTAAAAAAAATAATGTTAGTTATTTTGAAATTTAAATCTCAATTGGATTTTTTTTTTTTTAAGTATAAGACTAAATAATAACCTTCTCCTCTGGAGATAACCACGGGGCTAGGATCATAATTGTTCGCAGACACTTTTTTCTCTCGTTGAATCACTTCAGCCGATGATTTAGCAGTACTTGAAGTTAACCGTGTGACACTGCCATTATTGAAAAGTCTTGTGTACTTAAGTAACTGAGAACTACGATTTTGTAGGCCTGACATTGTGTTTTGATGTCAAAGATCATATCTAAAAAATAATAAGGTCACGCGTTAATAATATAATACCTACCTACTTCAATTACAATAAATTAACAAATCGTAATAACATTTACTAGTCAGTAGGTAAGTAAGTTTATAAAATGTAAAGCATTTACTTTTACGACTCAAACTAAAAATTAAACATAATACCGCTGTTTTAAATCTAAAATGATAAAACATTATTAATATAACTAGCAGAACTAGTGATCAGTAGAAAATTATGTAAATAATAATTATTAATCGTATTGTTACTAAAATAATAGTCATTGTTAAGTTTAAATAAAAATCGTGTCTGGAAAACTTTGCTGAACAGAAATTAATATATTATGAATTTAGATTTCCATATTGTGTAATTGAAAAAATAATCAATATAGTGTATAAAATAAAAATGATTCCAATTCGGTAAAAAAAAAAAATAAAAAATATACTTAACAATAATATTGCCAACTGAAATGTTGTGCACAACCGAAGTCATCCAGTGAAGTATTAATAATAGTGACTATAACTCAACTGTACTGTGTCAAATAATCTTCGAATGGCATAATAACTGTGTCTAACGATCCTGATTCAGTGATACGACAAATAATTATTACAAGTGCCATTTATTGACCTTTTCGTCGATACGAGTTCGATGTTTAGTCCTTACAGTCCGGGGACTCTGCACAGTAGGGGGAAATATAATAATTCCCGAGCGTCGAACGATGGCACGATTAATCTATTGATCCATATTTGAAGTATAGCAACATAATGTATTATTGTTATCATCATAATCGCGTAATTTTAAATGCGATAGTTATTATTTTACGGATTAACTATTATTGACACTAACAACACTACGGGACTATATTTCGTTCCACTTAACGTAGTCAAGCATAGGTACTATGACGTGTAAGTGAAAAAAATCAATTCCTTTTCGATTTCTTACGTCTGTACAGTAGCTAATTTGAAAGGTCAATAACAATGATAACATTAATATTGATGTTTGTTAGACGAAATCATAATGATTAGGTAACGGTGCCTATGTAATATTACGATAAAAGGATAAACCACCAAATGTTTCAAATATACCTACTTTACCTACTTAATATGTATTATAACTGCATGTCTCGACGACAATAAAACATTTATAAAAACTTTTGGTAATAATAGAGTTTTATTTAGTCTTTTACAAAAAAGAACAATAAAAACTGCCTAATGAAAACTTTTATGTTAATTAATTAATAGGAATGATTTGTTTAACTGAGATATGCATATACGATTATAATACAAAATATACCTACACATAAATAATTAAATTTTCAATCTATTGAACTAATATTTTTTTAAACATTTTGATATTACTCAAGTAATCATTTATTATTATTTTAATCATTATTATTTAACAATTTCTCTATTGTTATATCATAGTGTATTCATAATAATATTAAATATTATTTATTATGCAACAATAATTATCAACAAAATCGATTTTGTATTTTTGCTTTAATCATTCATAATAAATAATTGTAGATACTAGTGTAGGTTCCTACTAAAATTTGCAATAAAAATATTTAACTTGCATTTTGTAAACAAAATACAATTTCAAAATATTTAGAATATACTTTTCAGCTAAGGTATTGGTAATTTAACATTGCATACTTTTTTTTGTTTTTTTTCGATATATTTTGATAGAAATCGTTGTCACTCAATTCAAAAGCTTCAAATGTAATACAAAATTTCTCAAAAGAATATGTTATTATAATAATATTTCAAAATATCATAAGCACAAAATTTTTTTTGTCTTTAAGCTTTTGAAAATTTAACGTAACCTTAGTACCGTATAATATATACCTAATATAGAAGTAAAAATAATAGAATAACTAGGTAATAATGACATTATATAAATACATTTTAATCTGTATGTCCTTAAGACTAATAAATAGACAAGAATGTAACACCATCTCAACTCAAAATTATTTTCGTGTAGGTACCTACAATGATTAAGAGGACACCACATCCGCATGTGTCGTATACTCGTATCCATCTTACAAACGTAAAATATGGCAAATTTTACGTTCTCATTAAAACATTTTACTCTGTAATTTCTAAAATTACCTATTTTAAAATGTAAAGGTCCTGTATATTATTATCTATAGGGCATCTTATAGGTTTTTTTTATATTTAATTTTAAAGCAATTTATAAGTATTTTAAAATTTTAAACTGTTTGTACATCTCAAAATACTCATAACTCGCTTTAAAATTAAAATTAAAATAAAAGCGTATGAAACGCACTTGATTATTAATCTTACCTTTAAATTCCATAAAGGAAATTTTACTATAGTTTTAGAAATTACAGAGTAAAATGTATTATTGTGAACGTACAATTTGCCATGCTCTACGTCTGTAAGATGGAGAAAACAAAAAAGGGTGTGGCGTCCTATTAAAACAGTTAAAATTTAACTCATCCATCATTACACCTTTAGATACCTACTAAGTATAAGTAGGTATTAGGTAAAGTAGGTTTACTTAAGAGGACGTTACACCCATATGTGATATGTGTTATCTCTATCTTTTACACAGGCGTAAACATAGCAAATCTACGTACCAGATTATAAGTACAAGTTATTTGTTGTTAATATCAAAGAAATTTTATATATTATAGAATTTGTAGACCATAATAATATTTTATAACCTGTGTCCTAGCAAAGAGTTTTGTTTTTCATACTTTATAACGATTTATATTATGCATTTTAAAAATGTATATGTACATAATATGTACATTTGATCTAATGTCGACTATGCGTCTATGCTTATATTAAAATCTGGTGCCTACTTAGATTTACTATGTGTGCACGTCTGGGGGTTGAAGCTTAATGAGGTAAACTTGGAACCTACAGGCTACAATACAAAATAGTGAGCAGAGTGCGGTTGGCTTGGCCTATAATTTAAAGTACCTATTATAATGTATTAATGTATTATTTTATTTAATGTACATTTTTATACTACACAATGTATTTATATATATAGATTATTTTGTAAATTACATTTTTTGTCAATATATCAAGTATAATAATAATCTATATCTATATTATAATAGAAAAATAATATATATTAATATATTAGAAAAAACCACTTACTCACTCACTTACTCATTCATAGCTACATCCTATAAACTATAAAACGTGCGAACTCGAAATTTAGTAATAGGTACTGGTTAGTGGTTACTCTAATGATCTATATATGTGCAATAAGAAAAGACTTTCCGATGTTCGCATTTTAAAGATTCACGCCGATTTGTCTGTGAACTGAAGGGTACCTAAACTAACAATGAGATATTTCTACTCAAACCGAGACACGTCTATGTAACGTACATACTATAATATAGGATTTGCCACAAAAAGAGAGAAGACTTGATATTCGACTATTAATGATATTGTATGTATTATAACCAGGCCTTTCATTTGAAAAAAAATCCGTTTTAAGTTATTTACAATTAAAACGTTACACAATTTTTGGCGTTCATCGTTATTTAGAATTAAAAGGTTAACAAGTTTTGAGTTTGCCATTATTTAGAATAGTGTTAACACCTATTAAATGTATTAATAATAACTAATGTGGGCAGGTAATATCCTGGATAATACAATCAATTCTAATTTCCGTATGCATGAAATGAATATTACTACGAAACAAATATAATTTTTTAATAAATGGATTTTAAATTATTACGTTTTCGGTTATTTTTCGTTCAATGATGTTCTATAAATTACGTTTTGCATAATGTTTAATCATATACAATATATTTTGTTAACCGTTGTGTTTTGTTTTGCAGTATTTAATTATTTTTGATTATCGCTTACTATTATAATAAATTACGTTTACAAATTTCAATCGTTTTTCGACAAATATAACGTTATTATAACGTTTGCAAACCCTGAATTTAAAACACAGTTGGGCTAATAATAATTGAAAGAGGTAAAATATTTATTAATCACAAGACAGTTTTGTTACAGTAAAAAAAAAAAACAATAAGTACAAGTTAAGTTTTGAGCCAGGTAACTGGTATACCCTTCTTGTAATGAAACAGTAAAACTAAATATAAAATTATCTGGCAATTAAATAAACCTCTTATGAACCCAGATGTGATTTATATGAAGTACATAATATTATACCTATTTATTTTTCATTTGTAATTGCCTTCAAAAATGTATTTTTTTAATGTACCCATGATTATCACATTAAACCATGATAATATTACTTAGTTATAAATAGAAATTGACGATATTTTATAATTATGTTTCGCTATCAAATAGAAAAATTAAGTACAGCAATATAATTGGTATAATAAGTTTCAATTTTAGTTTATGTATATCTAGTTTGGCAATATTATGTATAGGTTTAAAATTGCTTACCAGTAAGCTCATTTTCTCATGTATAACAAAATCAATTAATCATTTAAATAACTATTACCCATATCAAAGAAAATGCAATTAAATTTTAGTAGATAAATGTATGCAATTTATTTTTAATTAATAAGTTCACTTACTGCTTCTACGAATTTCGTATTTAAGGTGTATTATAATTTATAATATTAGTAATTGTACACTAGTGTACACTATATTATTAAAAAAATAATATACACACATGATTAACGATTATTTTTTTACAGGTAAGTTATAGGTAATAAAACAATTGTTTAGTTCATATATGATGTTTTTATATTTTATATTATTTCGATAAATAAAATCTAAAATAATATTTACATGAGTTTAAAAAAAAATAATTGATTATTGTATTTTGGTAAGTAAGTATTTGAAGCTAATATTAATTATAACTATTTAGGAACTATGCACCTATTATCTAACTACCTTTAGTATCTATATTCTACATATCTACCAAATATTCATAACTTCATATAATAATTATTTTAGAGATGACTAAAATATTTAAAGTAGGTAATCCTTATATTTATTTTGTAAAATAAGAT